GGTGAATGAATGAATGTAAGTTCATTAAATTTGTTGTTTATTTATTCGAAAATAAAATTTATTTTATACCTAATTTGTTTATATTATAATAATCGAATTTCTATTAATCGAATCGAATGAATAAAATGTTAAAATTTGATTCTTATAATAAGGATACAAAAATTTTCCTAAATTTTTAATGAATTTGAAAGTTTAATGTTAAAGAAATCATAATAAATTTTGAATAAAATTTTGAAAACAATTAAAATAAATAAAAATTTAAAAGAAAATTATATTCAGATTGCAAAATATTAGAGAAAATTTTAATATTTATTAAATGTAGACAATAATATTATGCAACGTATATCTTATCTCACAATTGTAATATTCAGTATATGTATATAATATAATAGGCATACTAAATTCTGAAATTATAATTGCAACATTGAAGTTTTGAATTAAATTTATTATAATGTCATTCAATTAACATAAAATTTACACTTAAATTTAATTAAAATAAAAAAATTTATGAGAGTAATATTATGCCTATAATTTGTTCTCATTCGTATACACATGTGTACATACATGAATTAATACATCCTTCATATTTAGATTTCTCTCAGGTTTTTTTTAGTTACGAGTATCTATGATATTTTGAGTTTTTCTTGTTAAAAAAAAAGGGGCATAGTGTAGGTAAACAAAAATCCCAACTTTAATGAAAGTTTTTGAAACTTCCATGAGCTTAAGTTTTTTTTTCCCAAGTATAGGTATTTCGTATATGCATATTTTATTATATGTATACATATTTATATATACGTGTGTATATATGTATATTATTGTACATGATATACAAATATATTTCAAAAAAAAAAAATTATAATTTTTTTTTTCCATTGTACATCTTTATAGTTGAAACGAGCATTTTTTTGTAAGAATTTGTATATATGTGTATGTATGTATGTATATATTTTCTACAAAATTTTTTTTTCCACTTTTTATGTTATATATTAAAATTTATCTATGTATATACTAGTAGTATATCCTACATATACAATAGGAAAAAAAAATAAGCTGTTTTTTTCTCATTCGAAATTACTAAAAGAGAAAAATTGTCGGTACAAAAAAAAACAGAAAAACAGAAAATATGGGGACGAGTAAAAAAATTTAAGGACAAAAAATATATAAAAAAATGAACCGGGGTAAAAAAGGACATAAAAAAGACGGTAAAAAATATATTTTATTTTCTTCATTTATAACAAAAAAAAAATTCCTTTTTTTTTTATTTTGGTTTTCGTTAGAACTAATTTTAATATTGATTTTATGTTTTTTTTTTCTTTCTTTCTTATTTTCCTTTTCATTTTTTTTTGTGTTTCATCCTGAAAAATATTTTCAACTTTTTTTCTCTCTCTATAAAAAATCTATATGTATGTATGTATGTATGTACAATTATGTAAAGTTAAAAACATAAAAAATTTGTATATAAAAATTTTTTTCCTCCTTTTTTTATGTGTTTAAATGCTTTAATTAAAGTAAAATTTTAATTAATAAAATTACAAAAAAAAAAAATATAAAAATAAAATGAAAAATTTAATTCAAAATGAATAAGGACATTTTTTTTTTATATTTTAATCAATTTATTCTGGCATTTTTGTATTTCAATTTTTTTTTGTTGAAGAAAAATTTTATTTAAAAGTTTTAGAAAAAAATATTTTTAATTTATAATATGAGAATATTGTGATATAGAATTATTGATATTATAAATATTATTTATACAAAATTATCTTTTAAAAAAATTTAATTAAATTTATTAAATAATAAGAAATTTCTTTTCAATAATTTAAAATCCTGATTGTGTTTTATTTCAACTCGATTTGAACACAGAATTTTTTATTATTTTCCTTCTCTATTATGATGGGAGAAGAGCAATTTAAGTAGAGATTTTCATAAATGCCAATACTGTAAAACAATAGCTGCTCCATAACGCTATGAATATAAATACATACATTGTATTTATAGCAATTTAACAATATTCTTTAAAATCAAAACAGTTCATATGATTTAACTATGCTACAAATCATAAACATTACGAAAATTTAGCAAAAATTTATGAATAAACTAGATTAAAAACTTATGAACACAAATATAGCGTAGTTTTCGCTATTATATCGCGATTTATTACGTTTCTTACAATCTTATGCGACTACCACAACACAACTCAATAATAGAAATTTGCTAAATTTACTCTCTCTTGCCTTTTTAGGCCTTTACTATAAGAGTTTTTATTAATCAAAAAATATTTAGTATATTTAGTAATCAACAAACACTAGTTGCGAATATTATAATTTAGAATGGAATTTAATAATATACTTAAGAATATTATATAATTCAAATATGAAATTTAATTTTAAGTATATTAATAATAAAATTTTATTGTTTATTAATGTACTCGTACTTGACATTAAATTTCAAATTTGAGAGAGTAAGAAAATAAAAAGAATTTCGAAATATTTTTCTTATTTGCAAGTACAAGAACGTTTGTTTTACAAAAATTTGCAAAAACTTCATAAAAATCATTTATTAAAATTATTTAACATTTTATAAAGCAAAGAAAAATTTTAAGAGTCGTACAAAGTAAAGAGACCAAAAACAAGTAATCAAAATAAAAAGTAAATGATAACAAGTTTTTGTAAATTCTTATATAACGACAAAATTTATTGTGATTAATTTTATTTGAAAATACTTCGAAAAAAGAGAATTTGTTTTGCGATTGACTTTCTTTTTGAGCTTCTCTTTAAAGAAGACTCGAGAATTTATTCAATAAACAAAGGTTTTTTCTATGATATTTTACAAAAACTTATTTATTTACATACATACATACAATGTAAATTTTCCACCAATAGATAAAGCTACATACATACATACATCCATATACGAGTATTACTTACAGTTTTTTGACAATCATCTGTAGAACATCAACATTAAACTGAAATTAAGAAACGTGATTATAATTATTTTACAAAAGTACTTTAGAACTTATTAGATGTAATATGTGTATGTAATAATAAAATAAAAATATAAAACATAAAACTTTTAATTACTTTAAAAGTATAACATTGTTATCAAATGAATGACAACAAATAAAAATATAGGAGATTTTATGTTCTAAAACAAAATCGATTTTTTGCATATTTTGACAGTTTACCGTTTTTTACTCTTCAAAAGAGAAAAAAACATGTGTATAAAATATTTGAAATTAGGTATATAGATCTAACTCTATGTGTATAAAGTTAAATGGAGAAAATCTTATAATTTTCAACCAAATTTGATTTTGTATAATAATCAAAATAATATTTTTGTGTATTTCGTTTTGAACTTCAAACATAATAAATATTTCGGATATTTGAAAAATTTTTCTTTTGAATCAAACAAGTGGTGCAAGAATATACCATAATAAAATATAAATAGAAATTATTTGACCTCAAAAATATGTATGTTGTATAGGAACGCATACGTATGTTGTATGCTGTATAGGAATGAAGGTGTACTATATTATGTAAAAAACGAATAAAATCCAATGAAAATGCAAGGAAAATTTATTCAATATTATTATTATATAAATGAATGTATGCATGTATGTTTGTATGCAAAATAATTTCATTATATGTTTGTATGTACATAATGGATTTAGAACTTAGCGAGTGACGAAACTTCCGTAAAGGAAATTAATTTACTTAATGTATGTATTTACTTTTGTAAAATAAATTAAATTCTTAAGCCATGCACATTTTTTTTTTTGTTTTTTTTGTAAATATTTGATTACAAAATAAATCAATATAATAAATATTTTGACTACGGTTGTCAGACTTTTAATTTTTATAATTAGTTTAGATATAATAAATTAATAATTATAATACTTTATAAATAATATACACCTACATATTAATTTCTCCAATTGATATTTGGACATTGTGTATACACTTATTGTGTGTATTTGGACATTGTGTATGCACCATTTTTAATGTTGGGGCAAAATTTAAAACAGTTTGATTAATTTTAATTTAATTGAGAAATAGTTTTCAGTAATTGAATTTAAAATCTGAGTTATGATGATTATATTAATGCTATAAGACTTATTCTTAATTGTATGTAATAAAGTAATGTAGGCAAGAATTGGCAAGAATTCTATAATAATTATTAGCCCTTTCATAAACTCATGTATGTTTATAAACAAATGTTGTAAATAGGTGTGCTCATAAACGTTTCTGACTTACCTGACAAATATATTTAAATTATTATGTTATTGCTAACGCAGTTAAATTAGATGAATTGGTTTTGTTTTATAAGAAAGATTGAAAATGAATTAGTTATGAATGTTATGTTAAAATAGTTATATTAGTTATGTTAAAATGAATTAAAGTAAATATAATTTTAAGGGAAATATAATTAAGGAAAATATAATTTTAATAAAATTTTGAGATTTACTGGGACGCGAAACTGATAATGTGCAGGAAAACAAAAATCAATGGACCAGAAAATTTTTGTTCATAAACAAAATTCTGTGAATTCAAAATAGATGCATTTTTTTTTAACTGTCTAAAATGTATTGTATATGTATCACGTTGTTGTTTTGCAGTATTGTGTTTATAAAAATTTCTTTGCTTTCTTGTTTTATGTATATTTTTCGTTTTTATAAATGTGTAAATATGATGAATAGAATTTCTGAACACTATGTCAGCAAATTATTTCCTTATATATTATTTTTGCGTAATCTCTTTCAAATATATTGCATTTTACACTACGTCACTGGTCTCTGGTATTATAGGAATACGCGTATACATTATGTAAATGTTCATACCCACAATTCTTTATATTAAAAGTACATTCATATGTCTACACTTATGTCATAAATAAATATGTAACCTTTATACTCGTATTATTATTTACGTGCATAGACATTTTATATTGATTGTGTGTATCCAAAAACTAAAACACTAACTTTGTGGCCTAGTTTCTGTCAGTTATCATTTTGTATATCTTCTTTGTCTCGTCTGATTATATTTTGTTTATAATATATTTTACAAATATGTATTATTTTGAGTGTATACATAAAATTTGTTGCGCATTTGTATAATATTATATCCTTCTGTTTTTCATGAAAATTTTATTTTAATATTTCATTCTCATCTGAAGTATTAAAAACTTTACTTCTTATTACTTTTTATTAAGTTGTTTGATATTATTCGTTTATATTGTACACGTTGATTCTTTTCTAATGTAAGGGTTTTATGTAAGTTCATACATACATATATGTACATGCATACAAAGGATATTGTTTCGGTTTATATAATAGTTTGATAAATGATTTTAATAAAATAATGTAATTTTATTAAAAAAACTTTCATAGGTTAGATTTTGGCATTATTTTGGATCCAAGGTCATGTAGATTTTTGAATTTAATGAATTTGTGACCGCGATTTATTACAGTGAATAATTTCTAGACGATCTACATAAGGCTGAGTTCACGTTCGAAATTCTGACTACGAGAGACCTTGTTAGTTAACACTGCACTGCAATAGAGCTGTTAAAGCAGCGCTCTCAACAAAATTCTGGTGTAATCTCAATAATATAAGCAAACATACTTATTATGTACATATTCTATAATATGTGAATTTAAGAATGAGGCAATTAGTTTGAAATAGAATAATGAGTAAAATATTGAATACACACTTGATTATTTTATAAAAAGAATGCATGTATTTTATTAAAAATAAGAGAAATAAGGTTAACATTTTAATTTAAATCAATTATTTCTTTTTTAACAACAATATTATTTGTGGAATTTTTGTAGCGATCCGATGTATCTCGTTGATTTGTTGTATTTAAAGATGGTTGCGAGGAAGATGTTGCTAATAAATGGTTATTATGATGGTTTTGATCACTATCATTTAATATAATATCACTATCGTTTAATATATCTTCCATTAAAGATATTACTTTCTTGCGAAATCTTCGATTTTGTATTTTATTCATACTATTGAAATCTGGTAGTAAACTTTTTAAGAAACAAAAATTTGCTTCTTCTTGTTCCAATTCTCTATTTTTAACAAAGGGAATAGAATGAGAGTTTTCACAATCAACCCTTTTTCTTTTAGTTGCTGCAACATAATCGTCTTGTAATGGATCTAAATTCTGTGTATGATGTTGCAATTGTATTTTCTTTTGAAATTTTATTTGAGATTGTAATTTTGTTTTATAATGAATTTGCTGTGATTGCTGTTGATTGATTTCATCAGTTGTAATTTCTGGTTCTTGATAATTTGTTGTCGGTGATAATTCACCTGGATCTTCTATTGTAAAAGAAATTTTATTATTACTAGTTTCATTATTTGCACTTTCATTTTCATAATCTTCATCATCTGAGCTAATAGCTGCTATTTCTGTTTGGTCTTCGGGATACAATATATTATAATCGAAATCGAAATGATGCCGTATGTGGGGTAACAAAAATTGTAAATATTTTGCTAAATAATATCCCTTTGATTTACTGCCTGGAGGATTATCTTTAGCTGATTTTTTCATACTTCTAATAAATGTATTTCTAATATTACGCCAACGTTCACGCAGTACTGGAATTGGTTCTTGAAATTCATGTGAAATTATTTTCCATGTTGCTTTGATTTGACTCCTTTTATTTAGTTCTGGAATTCTGTTATTCCAAAGGCACTCATGTTTTTCAATTGTTTTTATGAAATCAATTATACTACTATAAACTGTTTTTTCCGCCATTTTGAATAAAAAGAAAAATCACTTTTTTCTTCTTAATAAACGTCAAACGTGATTTACTTATGAAACTTTAAAACTTTTCTCTTTGAAAGTTTTTCGATCACTAACACTAAACTAAACGAATCAAATTGAATACGAGTAAATGTAGTAAAAACAACGTGCAGTATAAAAACAGTACAACAAAAAACAATGTGTAGTTTGGAAAAACAAGGAGAAAAAATTTCGTATGTTTTTTACTGCGCAACATTTACAGTTGTATTTGTGAAGAGTTTCTCAGTTAAGTCATAATCATATGTTCAAACGTATTTATAAAACTGTTTCGTGTTATATTGCAGGTTATATACCACCACAAAAGTTTTTGTATAGCGTAATTTGACGTACCAAACTATATTTGTGTTTTTATATTTCTGCTTCAAAGGTTATTTTTCTTTTATAAAATATAAAATACAATACCTATACAAATAAGGTATATAGCAAATAAGAGAGAAAAAAATTATATTTTGAGTGAGATAAGATTGAAGAGTAATAAAAAAGTTACACGTTGTATTTTATCGCATGTTAATGTTTTCTGTTTGAAGATCTTTAGCTATATGAGATATTAAGCATGTGCAATATGTTATTTTATTTTTTATGTTAACATGTTGGTATAACTGGTATATGCGTGAATATAAGCAGTATGTAAATGGGTACATATGTATGTATATGTATATAAGTATTTAGGTATTTATTGTAGGGATTTATGTATAATCATAAATAATAATAATATGTATGCATAGAGTGCCTGTTATATATCAACTTGTTGAAATTTGGTTTACTTTATAGAAGCGAAATTTACAAAAATAAAGTGCATAATATATTTAATTAAGTATGTATGTATGTATGTATTAGGAATTAATTTATTTTAATTAAAAAAAAAAATTAGCAAGTGACTAATGAATAATGAGTAACAAATAAATGTAAAATTACTCTCTCTTGTCCTTTTTAAAATGGTTAGGTATTTTGAGAAATTTATATAAAAAAAATTTGCTGCCGTTTGCTGTTTCTTTCATAGAAAATCATCAATACTTATTCCAAATGGGAGAATTATCTTAGAAAATGTGTTTTTTTTTTGATTCTCTCAAATTTTCCACATTTAAAATTTTTGTAAGTACCAACATACGTACATACATACATAATTATAAATATGTAAATTGTTTAAGTATTAGAATTACATACATATTTTAAAATTATTTTCATGGAAAATAGTTTTCAAGAAAATTTTGTTACATTTTTCTTAGCAGAATGAAACAGGTTCTTATATACATACAAACATACATATGTACATGAGAATGTAGATATCTAGCAGACAGTTAGAATCTGGTGAGAAACAAGATAAAACAAAAAAAAACAAGGTTCGGAAGGTTGTATCTTTGATATTATATTTTTTTGCAATTAAGCTATAATTATTACCTAGTCAATATTATGCATTTTAATTTCAACGTCTCACTCTCACGTATCTCATGATAATTATATGTACATATTTGAGTATTTATGTACATAAAATTAAATACATATGTATGTATGTATGTACATAAGTGGAAAAATTAAATTTCCCGTTTTAAAATTCAATATAAATAATAAATTATTTTAAAAAGTTTTCGAGATAAAAATTTTTTTATTAAAATGAAAATGTTATTATTAGAATTTTTTTTTTTAATAATTAAGCTTCAAATAAGAATTTATAAACAAAAACATTTATTATTTGCACATATGTATGTATATACATACATACATACATATATACCCTACATAAATACATATTTACCTACAAATTCATATTACTAATAACATGTTCTATACAAAATGTGTACATATCTATATTTCCTTTAAATAATAAACACTATAGAAAAAAAAAATATTAACAATTTAAAAAAAAAAATTAAAAAAAAAAATAAAAACGGAAAACAGAAAAAACCATTTTTTTCTTTCTTTTTGTTTATTAGAAAAAAAAACTCCCCTTACAACTTTAAACCCTCTCTAGTTAGTTGAACGTCGTTGAAACGACGAACAAACAACGCAATTCAACACGGGTGGTTATAACCAAGCTACATACATAGCTGGTAATTTTTTTGATGTAATTTTATTAAGAAAAAAAAAAAAACAAGTCACAATTTATTTTTTTTCAAAAATTAAAAAAAAAAATAATAAAAATAACAAAAAAAAAATGCTATTAAAAACGAACACTGAATTCTCTAGAAAAAAAAGTACAAATATTATGTACATACATACAAATTATAATAAATTTAAAAACATACTTATATACTTACATAACATATACAACTGTATGAGCAAATAAATGGATATACATATGAATGTATGTATGTATGTATGTATATAAAAATATAAAATAGTACAATTAAACTTGGCTTTTGTAAAAAAACAAAAATTCAAAAAATAAAAAAAAATTGAGTTAGCTTTCAAAATAAGAACTTGTGACAAGCAATTTATGCTTTAACTATTTATAAATTTTTGTATGTATATTGTAGTTTTTATATTAAGTGTAAATTAAAACCACAGTCAAAGCGTTTAACAGCAACGACGAACAATTTCCGTTGTTAAATAACGAAACCATAACGGAACGTCAAAAACACCTGTTCATTATTTTGTTTACAATTTTACACACACATGGTAACATATGATGTTAAAAAAAATCACCAGCGGTAAAATAAAATTTTAGATAAAATCTAAGGCGGTAATTTCGGTTCATTCTGGATAATCCCTTTTATATAAAGTGTATTCTATACGAATGTTGATATTTTGATGCGACAAATCACTCTTGTTCTGTTCTCAACTTAGCTGCGAGCTCCTCTTTTTATAATTGATAGATGGAGCTTGTTGTTTGCTTAACTAATGGTTAATTTTTTGTTATTGCATATTAAAAATTTTTTATTTTTTAAAAAAGGATACTAGTATTAAAATAGATCGGAAATAAGTCATAGTTATAATTATTTTCAAAAAAAAATCTTTTGCATACAATATTTCTGATAATGTTTATTTATTTATTATTTATTTAAGAATTAAGCAAAATTAACCTCATAATTTAATATAAAATGTTAAATATAGTCATATTTTCTCATATAGGTATGTATGTATATTGTACATATATTGCACTTAATTTAGATTTGTTAAGAAAATTGATAAAATGGATGGGCTACTTAAAGAATTCTAGCTGAAATTTTCAATTGAAATGTTTTTGAAAAATATGCTCAAAAACACAAGAAAAAAAAATTATAAAGTAAAAATCTGTGTCTTTTTTGTACCATTATTGTTGTGATTATTATTATTATTTTCATTTATTTTTATTATTTTTATTATTATTTTTTAAATATTGTGAACTTGTATATTATGAAAATTTACAATAGCACTGAATACACAAGTTATTGTAAATAATTTTTCCAGCGAGAGGAAACTCAATGCGATTTTTTTTTGTTTTTTAATATCGTAAATGTATATGTACATATATATGTAAAAAAGTATTTCATTTTTCTTGTTAATTGTATGGTTCACACACTACATGAATATATAAGTTTGTATATTATTAGTTTTTATTGCAACACAAATTATTATAATATTTTATTTTGTAATTTTCCTATTTGTTACTGCAGTATTAGCGCTAGTGTTATGATGCATTTTGTAGAATTTTTACTTCTCGGTATTTTTTGCATTCATTCATAATTGATTGTCTTTTACATTACTTATGTACGTATTTTCTCAACATTTCAACCTGTTGATGAATTTGTTATCTATCAGGTATAAATTTTAAAGGCCAAGTTTTAAGAAAAATTAAATTTGATTTGATGACGGGCGGAAACGGGAGGGTATGTTTATTTTTCTTTTAATTTTCAATACCACAATAATAATTGGCTACATAATAAAAAGTATTTAAAAAATTTCGATTTAGTTATGTACATTTGTTCTAAAATATAATCTCATTTAGCAGCACTTGCGAATAATTGATCGAATAGACATACAAAATCACAAATCTCAAAACACCACATTAATCTATTGTACATATAAAAAATCTCATGTTAGATGAAAATACATATACATACATACACGTGTGTTTGCTTACACATTCATATTATTCGAATAAAAAAACTATATTTTCAATTGAAATTAAATTTTAAATTTTTTAATTTTAATTAAATTTTGAATATTTTAGATAAAAAATTAAAACCTTTCCAATATTTTCTTTATTTGCAGTTTTAAAATCTGAAAACAAACAAAAACACAAAAATCATGTTGCCCCAACAGTATTGTCTCCGATGGAAATACCATCACAGCAATTTACAAACAATGTTCTCTCAATTGCTTGATCGTGGATGCTTTTGTGATGTTACTTTAGCATGCGATGGTCAAATAATACGAGCACACAGGGTAGTACTTTGCGCTTGCAGTACATTTTTTGATACAATTTTAACAAATTATGCAACAGACAAAGACCCAATTATTATAATGAAAGATGCGAAATATGCTGATGTTAAATATTTAGTAGAATTCATGTACAAAGGGGAGATTAACGTGGAGCATGTAAAATTGAAATTTTTATACATAATGTTAAATTGTTTGTTTATTATTTATTTTATACTTTTAGGCAAATTTAGCATCGCTATTAAAAACTGCAGAAGAACTTAAAATTAAAGGTTTAGCAGAAGTATCTTGGCGAGATGATGATGCTATGGATCAACCAATCGCTGAACCAGAAACAAAACTTCATGGTTGCAGCGCCTCCCAAGAAAAAGAATTAAGTGCTCATCAGTTTAATAATTATATGAACAATAATAACAATAATATTAATGCTATCGATGAAATAAGCCAAATACCAAATCATAGAATTCCAAGGATGCCTCTCTTAACTCCAATACCATCACCAAACCAAAATTTAGATCAATTTAGTTTAAAAAGGAAACGAGGCAGACCACCTTTAGATGATACATATGACATCTTCAGTGCGTAAGTTAATGATTTGAAGATAATATGAAGCCCAATATTTTTTTTTTGATATGTTTTATATATTTTTAGACAAAAAATATCTCAAATAAAATCTCTTTCATCTGGAATTCACAATATTTCTGCAACAGAAAAAAACAACATTAATTCAAATTCTTTTAAACGGGTGTCCCCAAATCGAGATAATTCTGATATGAACTCTCTTATAACTGAAACAAATCAATTGGTTAATAATGAAACTGAAGCTAATAATATCAAAGGGGATGCAGGCAATTTGAAAGAACAGAAACTTCAAAACAAAGACTGGTCTAAAAGAAAAAGTCAAGAAAATAGTCAAGACAATGATTCCGAAATCGATGAAAAACCAAGTGTTGAACAATTAGAAAAATCTGTGGCAGCGGCAGTAGCAGCTGCATCGGCAAATGAAGTTTCTGATTCCAATGAGAAAAATGACACAAATAATCAAAATATTACAGAAAATGTTCAAACTGGAAATGAGTATTTCGATGATATTGATGATGCTAGTTTACTAGATAGTCAAAATAATGGAGAAGATGAAATGAGTGATGGGCAAGAACATGATTCCGGTGAACTTGGAGATACTAAACATTATGTTTTAACACAAGCAGAACTTGAAGAATGGAAAGATGTAATAAAAATGGATGCTTATTTAGCTATTGGAAGAAGACCACAATTTTGGGAAGAACCGTTTACAAAAAGAGTAATTTTATATTTTAATAAAAAGTATTAAATTAAACAACAAAAAAAAATATTAATATTTTAGGTATTGGAAGCTATAAAAACAAAGAAATTGGAAATGAAAAAAGCGGCACAAGTTTTGGGTGTTTCATATGGTACATTGTATGGTAGATATCGAGAAGTTTATGGATGCCTAAAACATCCTTACAGGTATGGATATTGTATTTCTTTTATTAAAAAATAAGATGGGGAAAACTAAGTCCTAGATTGACAAAACTTGTTCAGTAAGTCGAAAAGTGTTTAAATTCAGAAAAATGAGAAGCAAATATTAATAAATATAGAATAAGCTCTTAGATTGAAAAATTATCTACCTTAAATTTATTGAAATAACTTATTCTTTACTTTAATGAATATGTTTTGCAAATATTTCCAAAACATCAATTGTTTTTTTCATTTAAATATGTAATTAAAGTAAATGTAAATAATTCTAATTGTTTGCAGACTTTCTTTGGCAGTTCTGTCTCTAGATTTATACTCAGATATTTTCTAGATTTTTGCTTGTTTAATATATCCTTCAGATTTTACGTTTAATATCCTAAATTTAATTACTAGATTTTGTCAATTCGGATTTTGTGCACAACCATCTATTTTTACCATCCTCATTTTTCTTTAGTTTCACCTAATTTAAATTGAAAACTTTCAATCATTGTTATGAATTGTTCATCACTTTACTTAAATTAATCATCATGCATAACTAAGTTTTTATTTTGAATAAGTTAAAAATTGATCGGCCTTCTTTTTAATAAAATTCACATATTACGTGTGCCATAAAGAATTGGTGTTATCATTCACAAATACATATATGTAATTTTATTCTTGGTTTTTACAATTGTTCTTTGTAAATTTCAGAATTCGTGATTAATATCATTTCTTTTTTTCCAGATAAATAAAAGTTTTCTATAATTAAAAATTAAAAATAATGTGAAAAGAATGAATGGTACATACCTACTTTACTCTTGGTGGATTCACTGCAAATTTTTTTTCAGCTACTTAAAACTGAAATATGTTTTTAAAATTAATTAATTTTTTTCTTTCTTATTTTTTTTAAATTATCAAATTAATGAAGCGCTTATACAATGCCCCATCAATTTAAAAGTTGCTCTTTAATATTTTAATTATCATTAAATATTTATATTAATTTCTGATTTTGTTTATTTTAATATTAATTTAAAAATTGAAATTTTATTTAAATTGTGTTTGAAAAAGCTATATTTGGCGCAAATCAATTTTCATCTAAGAATGAATTAGAAATTTAAAACACAATTTCAATTTCATCTCACTTTTGCAAAAATGAGTTTTAAAAAACATAAAATAAAATTTTATATTTTTTGGTCAAACAAGTATTTTTTAAAAGGATTCCAATCAATTGTTTTGTGTAATCGATATTGTAAAATGCGCATTGAATTGTTTTGAATCCTAATCGATATTGCAGTTAAATAAAAGCATTGAACATTTTATTAAAATGTCAAATAACATTTAAGTGAAATTTCAAGTTATTTTATCAATTTTACAAATTATCAAAAACAATTTGCTGCATTCAAAAGTTGTATACGAAAATATGCAAAAAAATTTTTAGCATAAGTTATTCATTGCCGGTTGGTGAGCGTCAGATACAATTGTTGTCGACCGGCATTTAATATTATCGATTCTACATACCTGTAACATATTAAAAATTAATTTTAAACAAATTTTATTTTTTAACTTTTTTTTCTACATAGTTTAAATTTTAAAGTTCTATTTTAAATTAACTTTAGTTTCAGAAATTTTTAGTTCATATTTGATTCAAAATAAAAACAAAATTTTAGTTACTGTATTAGAATTATCGCTATCGCGATTTTATTACCAATTAATTTTATTACAATTTTTTATTTTTAATTTTTTATTTTGTATATTTATTTTTGATTATTTTGCAGAGGACTAGTTTCTAGATTCGAAACATGGCAAGTTGAACAGATAACTGGTAAAAACTAATTTCAGAAAATAAAATTACATGCATTAAGAAAACAATAGAAGAAGTTAAAAGAAAAAAAATTATATATTATTAATTTTTCTGTAATATTTTTTTTTTATAAAAAGTAAAAGACATTTATGTAATTCCAATTTTTAAATATGAAATGTGAATGCAAATAATGAATTATATTTTATTTTTAATTCAATTTTTGTTCCTTATAAATTTTATAAAGACAGTATTATTAAAACAAAATAAAAACAAAAAAAAAAACAATACAATTCAACAAATTGGTTAAATTTAGTAATTTATTGAAAAAAATATTCAACCATGTTTTTACTTAAAACAAAAAAAAAAAACAATTTTTTTAGTAAATATTAAATTACCGTCATTTAACAATATTTAAATTTAAATAGCTCTTATTTTGAGTAATCTTGTAAATATTATACCTTTTTTATTTTTATTATTAGACTTTGTTAAGAATAATAAAAAAAAAATTTGAAACATTCGAAAATTTAATCGTAATCGTATAACTGTTAAGATAATTATTTTAAAATGTATAATGTACCTCTATATTATTATACAAAATTAACTGTAAGTGTAATAAATAAAAGACAATTTTATGTCAATATTTATAATTCTTTATACGTTTTTTTTATAATACCGAACCTATAAGAGACCGAACAAAAAAGTTAGTTGACCAAACCTATAGCAGGAAAAAAACACAGCCTGATTTTAACTTAAACTATCAAAGCAAAATTATTTGTTCGAAACTAGAATTGTATTTTAAACTAAGAGTTAAAATAATTTCTTATACAACAAGGAATGTTGTTTGCTCCTGAAAATTTGTGACATATACATAAAAAGTATAATGTTTGTAAACTTTTTTTTATTGATAACCGGCCACCCTGTTATATTCTTCTAAGTTCTTACTATTGTATTTTGACAGATGCTGTCTTCTATAAAAGCACGGCTGACAGAAAAATTTGATATTTTTATTATGTCAAGTACAAAAGCTTTATTTCTCATTTATCACCTGTTGTTTGTCAAGATTTGTTTTGAATTAAATAGTGGAACAAAAAACTTTTAATTATTTTAAAATAGAAAATAATGTGGAGGTACTTAAATTCCCACAAATGTTTTTTTAATTTTAATTTTGAAACAAACACATTTTTGTATACTGATTTAAATCATGTTTATCAGGAGAAAAACGTAACGAACGCTTTTATTAAGAATAGATTTGAAGTAAGTAGGTAGCTATCTACCCGAATCTTATATTTTATTTTGAAATAATAAAAATGATATTTTTAGGAAGTGAATCCCCGTATTGATTTCGATGAGGAATTAGTAATGAATACTTTAGGTGACCTTCCTTCAGCTTGCGAAATTCAGAAAGAGAACAAAATAATAATTTTGAATTTAAAATATAATGTTGATAGTGATGTATTGAAATTTTACTGGAAACTTCAGCCTTCAGAGGATAATGTAATAATATTTTCTTAATAAGAGCAATATGCTAATAAAAAAATTAGTTTCGTTTTGAGATAATGAATTAAAAAAAGAATTGTTTTAGATTAAAGAAGTATTAATTCATCCCATCTTGTTGGCTTTAAATTCGTTTATTTTACAAAATGATGAACTTGTAAATATAATTAGAAAAAAAGATATCGAAATTGAACAATACAAAGCTGAGGGTGCTATTTTGAAGAGAAGTATAGTACTCACTTCACTTTACTTTCAGTTTTTGCATTTAGATACTAATTATAGGGCTTGTTGCAACGAAAAAGTTCAGTCACTCAAATTTCAACTCAAATTACGTGCACGTTGATGTAGATGAGTTTTTGTCATATGCTAAGAACAACATTGATAGCTTAGAAAATTCTAGCAAGCATATGATTAAGAAACTCGAAATAACTTCTCCAGAAAAAGAAAGTACCTTAGAAAGCATTAGTCCCGATAAAAGAGGAGGAAAATCAAAGTATGTACAGATATATGTAGGTAAACTTATGTAGAAAATCTTCGTACATATGTATAACGTTTATCATATTAATTTTATATTATAAATTTTTAGGCGAAAACGAGCTCTAGAAGCAAGGAGACAAGAAAATTTGGCTAAGATTAAAAAGTTGGGTCAGAATTTGTATGAAAATGAATAATTGTAATTTTTGTAAATATGTTTATAACTTTGTGCGTGCAAATTTTATTTGTTCTTTTAACACATTGACATCATGTATGTACTTATATATGTTTGTTTGTTGTACAAAATGTATAAATAAATTTTACCTGTTTTTATAAATTATATACTAGAATTTCCAAAAAATGTTTAACCAAATTTCTGTTTTTGTCGCCAAAAATGTTTAACTTATTCTAATTTTTTAAGTAGCATCAAATTCAGTTACTTAGGATCTTAACGTAAATCGCGTATACGAATTTTCGAACTGTTGAATACGCCTAAATTTTAAGAGAATGAACGAGCTGTCGAACAAAAACTCTGTGTGATAGTTGAATGAATGAAAACTTGATCACACATAGGTAAATTTTAGAACAAACTATTGCTGATGTTTGATCAATAATTGCAATTTTCAAATTAATTTTATAAAATGCTTTTGAATTTAAAAAAATTGATTATAACATATACATACATATATACAATATACACAGTTGCATACTTATGTATAAAAGTGTTAGTAAATAGTTTCGAAAACGAAATTTCAGAAAATTTTACAAGATTAAAAGTTTTCCAATTTTGGAACACACCCTTTATTCTTATTTATTGTAAACATGTCATTTTAGACGTTTGAGGCAACATTTTTTGACATTTGCTAATAAAGTAAAACACAACAAAAAATAATGCCAAAATTTGTTTACATATTACATTTTGACATTTCATGAAATTTTGTGTACATTTGTAAGAGTTAGTGAATATTTGTAATCTGCTATGGAAGTTGAATATGAAGAAGATGGTTGGATCCAAAAGTCTAAAACCGGTGAAGATGAGGTAAAATATTAAGAAAATAAAACGGAAATATACATGTATATGTAACAATAAAATGCATATCTTTGCAGGAGAATCCTGAGTTGGAGAACCCGCAAGAAGTATTGCGGGAGTGTTTAGAAAGGTTCTCAACTCCCGATTATATTATGGAACCTGGTATTTTTACACAATTGAAAAAATACTTTCAAGCCGGTGGCACTCCTGAACAAGTTATTAACCTATTGTCGGAAAACTATAAAGCTGTTGCTCAAATGGCTAATCTGCTGGCCGAATGGTTGATTTTAGCAGGAGTAAAAGTAACAGACGTTCAAGCAATGGTTGAAAACCATTTGAAAGACATGATTTTAAGAACTTTTGATCCTAAAAAAGCAGACACCATATTTACAGAAGAAGGTGAAACACCAGACTGGTTAACTGAAATGATTGACCATCATACGTGGCGTTCTTTAATATACCGCCTTGCTGAAGAATATCCTGATTGCTTAATGTTAAATTTTACTATAAAGGTATAAAATTCAATGTGTTTTGATATGTATCTCATAATTTATTAGTATTATGTGTTATAATTTATAACAGCTTATATCAGATGCCGGTTTCCAAAGCGAAATAACATCAATTTCTACAGCGGCACAGCAAATTGAAGTATTTTCCAGAGTTTTAAAAACTGCTATTTCAAAATATCTCAGTAATCCAGAAGACATTCAAAGCGCTATACAAGAATGTGCTCGAATGGTATGTCATGGCCAACACACATATGTTTACTCGCAAGTATTAGTCGGAGTTCTGGCACAAGAATCTAAAGGGGGATTCGTAATGAAAAGACTTTCGCAGGAAATTACAAAATACGCTCTGACGATGTAAATCACCAACTTATAATTCTATATATTAATAGTAAATTTTTATATTTTAGAAACCAAAATGTTACTCCTATAACAATGGCATTGAATGGTTCTGCGGCCTATCCACAAGCTTGTCAAGCTTTATCATCCATGCTTTCAAGAAATACATTGAACCCCGCTGATATAACCGTTTTATTCAGAAACTATTCTGTTGCAGATCCACCTCCAATTGATTTAATACGAAATCCACAATTTCTGGATTTGCTTGTAGATTCGCTATTTAAAGCTGGTGTGAAAATTAATCCAGAACATAAATCCAAATATATATATTTGTTGGCTTATGCGGCAAGCGTTGTTGACACACCAGGAAAGAAAGGCCCACAAGGTAAAAGAACCCTTAATAAAGAGGAGTTGAAGTCAACTAGCCAAGCCATTGAAAAGGTTCACCAAATCTGTAATGTTAATAAGGGATCAACAGAATTAATAGCTGAACTTTCGACCATCTATAATTGTATCAGATATCCAGTAGTAGGTGTTGGTGTTATTAGATGGATTGAAAATACTGTTACGGAGCCTTCGTATTTTAAATTGTCTACTGACAGTTGTCCAACGCATTTAGCAATATTAGATGAAGTTGCATCTATACATTCTTCTTTACACGGAACAATTTTAAATTTATTGATTCGCCTTTTTGAATCAAAACAAGATGAGTTAGAAATTTTAGTGCAGGTTAATTTTTTTATATTATAATAAAAAAGAAATTTTTTATATTACAAAATCTTCTTTTTTAGCTTGAAATGAAAAAAATGTTATTAGATAGAATGGTAAACCTCTTAACACGAGGATGTGTTGTTCCAGTTGTAAAATATGTTAAACAATGTTGTCAAAAAGGAGATACAGATATCTCTTTAATTAGATATTTTGTAACTGAAGTTCTAGAAACAATAACTCATCCTTATTCACTTGAATTTGTTCAATTATTTTTACCTATGGTAGAAAATGAAGAAATCACTGGTTCAATGAGAGGTGAAGGTGATAATGATCCTGTATCAGAATTTATTGGTAATATTTTAAAATTTCATTGAAATTAATTTTGTTATGTATTTATTTTTCTTTACAGTTCATTGTAAAGCGCATTATACGACAGTATAGAATTTTCGTATAAATAAAATAATTTAAAATGAATTATGCACAAAAATAAATAAATAATTTTAGGACGGAATGAAAAACAAAATAAAAACTATAATTTAGGAATAAGTACATTTAATTATTAAAATTTTTATAAAAATGAAAATTTTATAACTGCATTATTTTTAAAAATTAAGTATATATATTTAATTTTATTACCTCCAGGTTTTAACTTTAAAAAGCTCCGAAATTTGGAGAGTTAATTTAATTTTTTCTATAATATTATATTTTTCTCACAAACTAATAAATCTTTTATAATTTGTATAAATGTTTCTTTATATTAAAATTCAGTCATATTGAAATTCAGTTGTTAAACTAATTAATTCTCAATTAGATTAATATTGAAAAATTGTTTTTAATATAGAATAGGTACATTATGTTATTTGTACGTTCGTTCTTTAGCATTAGTACTAACGGCCAAACAGAAAACGAAATTGAAGCGATTTAGTATCTATAAACTTTTATATAATTCTCTTTAAAATAAATTTCATTCATTCTTTAAATGATTCATTACCAAAATCTTCATAAATTATATTAAAAGAAAATATAATAAACTTTTCACTATCAACTTAGATTTGGACAATCCGCAGGGTTCTATTACACCTTTCGCTTTTTACCCTTTTTTAATTAATTAATGAAAAAAATTTTAAAAATGCAAATATACATTAGCAGCAAACGGCAACAGATCGGAATGATTGGAGGCGTTTTATAAATCAGGCTAACCGGGCTCTAACGCCATGAAAGAAGAAGAAGAATCAAAAAATTTTATAAAGTTCTATTGCACCAAGAGTTAAAACGCTAAAAAATTATACCAACAAAAAAAGTATTTTTTTTAAAAAGTCACAAAGTAAATTCAAAAGAAATAGTAAAAATCAGTTGGTGCAATAGTGCTCAGATATAATATAAAAAGTAATTAAAGAAAAATAGTAATTATCAAGATCATCAAGTACGAGTATAATATATACAATAAAGAGTATAAATAAAATAGAATTTATATAGTATTGGGTATTAAAATTAAATAAACGTGGATTTTTCACGATCTCATCTTGATGATAGTTATTTGATTTAAATTAAGAAATGTACATAAAAAGCATAAAATCTAGCAATTTTATTGTCGGTGGGTAATTTATGATGCCGCTATATATTTAATAATTATATCAATATTATATATTTTATAGCTTTAAACTTATATTAATAATAATATATAAACTTAATAACATGTCATCAGATTTTATTAAAATAAGAAATGAAAAAAAAAAATTAGATATGTTACGTATACTTTTAAAATCAGGTTTATTTCTTTACAAAACTTATCATTTTTTATATTGTATTTTGTTAGCAAATAATAATGAAAAAAAAAAAGAAATAGGTAATATAAAAAAAGCTTTTTAATTATTGAAACAATTAACTTAAGTCTTTCGCAGTACGCTCTAGAGATGTGTAGAAAACAATGAAGAATTTTTTATCTATATGAAAATACAAAAAATTCAAAAGAAAAGTTTAGTAAATAAATAAAAATGATCTCTTAAAACTCTAAACAAACAAAACAAAACAAAAAAAAAAGCAGAGTAATATTTTTATTCACACATTTGGATTTAATTTCATTAAGTACCTAGGTATTTCTTTTACTTAACAAAAAGTTTCATTTATTTATTAGGTGTACGTTAATACGTGTAGTGCTTATAGACCATACATAATATGTACATTAGGTGTAGTGCTCACAGTCCATACACTATATATTTTTACTTATATTCTCGCACTTGTACCTACTAAATATAAAAATGTTTAATTCTTTACCAATTTTAAAGGTAAAAACAATGATACATTCAAGTTTTAGAAAAAAAAAAAAGTTATAATAGTTAAGAGTTAAAAAAAAAATATTAATAATAAAAAACCCGTTTTCGTGATTATTAATAATTTTTTTTTTTTGCTTGGGGAGAGCTTTATTAAAAGTTTTTGCCGGTGACTTTGTTTTCAAATTAAATTTTAACCAGTTATCCAAAGTACCACCAATAATACTGTTCGTGTTAATAAAATTGTACGTGAAATATAAGAGTAAAGAAGTGTGTGGTGTATATAGTTGGTTACAAAATCCAATTTTATTTACTAATTTTTTTTTTGTAATTTTAATTCTTTGAGTTTTTTGTTTTTTTTTTGTACCAAATAACCATTTTATAATTTTAGTGACAAAAAAATATTGAAAAATTTAATTTTGTATTTATAAAATATATTTAAAATTATATTAAACTAAAATAAGTTTATTTATGTTAAAATTTAAGTCATAATTAAAATATTAATTTTAACTAGATTTAGGTTAATCTTTAGAAAATAAAGTAACATCTTCTATTTAGAGTACTTACACATTATTTCCATGTGTTTATTATTATATTTAAGAGAAGTGGTAGCCCTAGCCATATAAACAACCCACATTCTCTTTTTAAAAAATTGTGCATATTATCAATTTAAATAGTGTTACATTATAAGTAATAATATACTGGTTATATAAATAAATCGTGTATAAATTATTATATATTAATTAATATACTTGTGCTGTTTACATTAAAATTAATTATTAAAGTGATATTTCGATTTATTTTTTTTTTTTAATTTCGTTTAACATAAAATTCAAAAGTTTATGCAAATTTTCAAAGTTTTTCAAATGAAAATGTAAATTAATATATTGTATATATATATATATATACACTTATTCAATGATTTTTAGTAATTAATTTTTAAATTCTAAAGTTATTAAAAAGTGAGAGACATTATTTTTCAATATTATTGAAATTTTTTTTTGAAAAAGTTGTTTGTTAAATTGTAAAAAAAAAAACCATACTGTTATGACCTCCAAACGTATCAAATGGAAACATGTTTTTGAAATGGTGCAGGGTAAGTAACAATTAATATTTATATTTATATATATATATATATATACGAGTATAAATTATTTAAATTTTATTTAAAAAATAATAATTGCAATGTAATAAATTTAAAAGTTATTTGAATTTATTTTTAAAAATTTTTTTTTTAATTCAATTTAAATAGCTTGATGATAGATAATAATATGATTATAGTTTAACACAGTTTATGTATGTACATATGTGTAATTGTATATCTAATTTGTATAAGTATACAAACATATATGCACATATTTGCCGAGGTAATATATATCTATCTGTTATAATGGTAAAAAGAATATTATTTATTTAAGGTATTTCCCAATATATGTATGTATTATAACATGTAGTCTTAGCTTCTAGCTAAAAGCTTATAATAAATAACATTGAATAAAAAACTATAAATAGTAGCTATAAAGTTAGTAAAATTAATAAAATTATTATTGAGTTTTTTTTTGTACATAAATAATCGATTATTGTAAAATTTTACATAAACTTAATTTGTATAAAGTCGCTTGTTTGCTGGGCAATACTGACATAACTCAAAATTTGATTATTTCAGAAAAGAAAATTTTAAAGTTTTTGGAGTAAATATAAGGATTTTCAATAATTTGGACATGCACTGAAAGTACTAGATTAAATCTTAAAAGTCTTTTCAGAAATTTTGTAGTTTGGATTTATCGAATATGCTTTATATTAACACTTTAGTCAGTAGAGAATTATCGAAAATTCCCTTATAAACATATTTTTCTCTCTACTTACAACATTATTTTTATTTTATAAAGTTATTGTTATAGCGACAGAGAAATAGTGTTTCGGCGCGTAGGTAATCTCAAAAAACCGTATTTTTAGAGTTATGTCACTATTCCAGTACACGAGCGATATATTCAATAGAATATTAATCTGTATATTGTAAGAAAATAGAATAATGAGCTATTATGGTAGCTATTTTGCTATTCGATTATTGCCACATGTTAAATTTTTTCGATTTTTCAATTTAAGATTTTAAAATTTTGCAAAAAAAAACAACAGTAATTTTCAATTAAAGAAAAATATGAATTTTTGAAAAAATCTTGAGATATCTTAAAAAATATTTTGTAATTTTCAATTAAATATTTACTTTTTGCGAGAATTGAATGCAATAAAAAAACTTTTTTTAAATATTTGCGAGCAAATGATTTTGTTTTTTCTTTTCCTGTGCTTGTTCTCTCTATTTTTTTATTACATATGAATTGTAGGAACTAAGGTATATAAATGATGAAGTTTCTTCATAGTAATTGCAAAATATGTACTCGTAGTATTGAAAGCTTTCTGTTTTTGCCTCTTTTTTTACTTTTTCTTGTAATAGGTACAATAAAGAAATATCGAAAAAGCCTTATTTGAACTTTAAGTATATAATTATACCTTATTTATTTATGATACTCTCTCGTATTGTGTATAGCGGTATATATGTGTGTATGTATATAATATAAAGTTATTAATGTGGGCAAAAGTGATAATGCTGAAATTGTTTATGATCTAATGTGTAAAATTTATAAGTTCATTTTCTCAGTTTTTTTTAATTTATTTTAATTTCAAGATAAAAATATTTTACGTTTGTAATAAATGGGAATAATATTTCTGTTTGAAATTACTAAAATTAATTAAATTTCTAATTAGGTATTTAGGGGGTAAATAAGAGGTGGAAATAAGAGGTGTAAGGATTTTATTTTTATTTGACAACAATAATTGCTCTAAGAATATATTTAATGCTTGAATAAATTTTTGTAATTTAAGGATTTTAAATTCATTTTAGGTTTGTGTATTTAAGGCAATTTTAGCTTTATAAATATATTCTGAATAAAGTTGGGTGGGTATTGACAAGTCTAATCGAACAGTCACATAATTATGTCCACTGTATTAAATGCTATAACTTAGATTTTTTTACATGAGGGGCATTATGAAAATGCAATAGATCCTGAAAGTTAAAAGCAGTTCGCTTCATACAGGAAAACCTTTTCAACATAACAAAATATCGATTTTCCTTCACTCATTAGTTGATAAAATTCTATTCTATTCACAGAAGCCATTCAACAATTAATGTTTATTGAGCAAAAGGGAACTATTTTTAAATAAATTATGTTGTGTATTCACATAAATTCAACCTACGTAACTTACACATATAGTTGCATTCTAAACATAAATTGAATCCATATCTTGTTTCTAAATACATCCGTCATTCAAAATTTGCATGATTCAAACTACTTTATGCTTTTAAAGTAAAATTTACCTTACAGTTGCCAATATTTATTGGAAAAAAAAGTTTTTTTTTTGGAAATGTAAACATTTTGTACACACACATGCATATTTACATGGGTAATTTTTTGGAAATATTTCAATTATTTCTTTGAATTTTTGAAAACAAAGACATCTCTTGTTTAATTAGCATAGTTTATAAACAATATTTTTGATATTATCAGAAAAGAAAATCAAATAAAATGAAAAAGCTTGGAAATTACGCGATGACTTGTAAAATTTTTTTTTATAATGTTGTAAAATGTAAATGTAAGTAAGTAAATGAAATGCATTTTAAATAAATGAATAATCAAAGATTTTCATTATGTACAAATAAAATAAGCAAATTCAAATTTAAAATCAGTATATGTATGTATGTATATAACTTCTTATGTACATACATACATATGTATGTTTGTATGCAGGTGTGATTGTTTTGTTGCTTTATTGTTTGGTTTTTTTATTTTCTTAAATACTTAGCTAGTAAATGAATTAATTTTCAACTTACGAAAGAAAATTTTAAATAAACGATAAAATTAAGGTAGCTGGTAATTAAAAAGTTCATATTGATGATCTGACAACCCCCGGAACAACACTCGATAAAATTTTTAAGAAAACGATTCGAAATTGACGGTTTTACTAGGAAATCATTTTATATTCGTTCTATTTTTTAAATAGGGTAACAGAATTAGGTTAAGTCAATAGAAGTTTTTTTTTACAAATTTATTGTCAAGAAGTGGTGCTATTAAAGACTTCTTTTAATTTAAAATGTTTTAAAGTTCTACCGTTTACAAATTTTCAGCTCAAAAACTAAATAGAATTTTTATTTATTACTAAACATACAAAATAATAATTACAATATTCTTTATTAATGATAATCTTTATTATTGTATTAGCACAATTTTATAATTATCATATTAATTAATTTACAAAATTGCATATTAAAATGGCATATCGTAAATGATTTATTCTAATTATGGGCTTTTTAAAGCTTTATAATTCAATTACTTGACACTGATTTAAAAAAACAATTAAAATTTGCTGTAAACAAAATGCAAAAAAAAAGTACTAGGTAATGGATATTTATGCGTTCTATGAGAGCTTCTACATCAAGAAGACTTTTAAAATTTTCGCTTTTATTAAAAAGAAAAGAAATAAGTATGTTACAGTTTTACTATATTTATTTATTTTTCTAAGACTATACTTGCATACAACAAGGAAGGTCAGGTGATGGCATCAAAATAAGCATTCCGAACTTTCGGTGGGAACGCACTTCTACAATGTTAGGGATTCATATTTATATAAATTATTTTTGGAGAGATGTTTACCATTCTCTCAGCCCAGTTCAGTATATCAAATTGGGATGAACTGATTTTCAACATTGTCGTCCTCTAGAATATAAAAGAATTATTTACAAGTCACTATTATATTCTTATGAAACATTGACAGTAAATTGGATAATTTCTTGCGGTCGGCTATATGCTGATCCTACATCAGATTTTTTTTTATTATCAAGTACAAATCAAAATTAACTGACTTCAATAATCACTAGTGTGAATCAGAATTTTATTGACTATCAAAATATTTAATTTTAAAATTAATAATAAAATTATCAGACAAGAAAGAAAAAAAAAACTTGAAATGTGTAAATAAATTTGTAAAATGAAAGTAAAGAAAATAATTAAGGTATAGGTTAGTTAACTTAACTGGAAAAACTGAATGATAAACCAGAAAAGATGTTAAAAGTCGAACACAATGTCATATTAATTACCTATTTTTGACTTAAAATTTTAAGATAAGGTAGTGTTTAATCGAATGGTAATGTAAAACAAGGTTATTAAAAATTTTATAATCATGTTTGAGGGAGACAAAATATGGTAGACAATTTTTAATTTAATTAATATTTTCGTTACATTTCAATAAAAAAAAAAATTTACCAACTCATTCAACAAATTTGATTAAAAACATAGTGATGTCACTTGTAAGTTTTTTTTTCGATAAAAACCGGAAATCGATTAGAACTTAAAAAAAATATTAAACTTTATATTTCCTTAAATTTTAATCCATATTTGTTAATTTCTGCCTATTCCTGCTATAAAAATAATTAATTAAAATCTATACAACAAATTGATAAATTTAAAATAAATTAAAAACTTTGAAAAATGAAAATAAAAATAAAATAAACCTTATGACTGTGTATACCACCTTTTATCAATATTTTAAATTATATAATGTTATGTACATTATAGAAATGAACAAATTATAACACGAGAAAAATATTTTAAAATAAAATTTTTAAATATTGGTTATGCTAATAAGAACCAGAACGTGATACACGTTTTGTTTTATAACTATATATAAACTATGTTAGGTTATTTTTATACATATATATTGTGTTAATATTATTAGCACTTTTCTAAAAAAATTTTGATAAAAAAAAATCTCATTATAGTTTCACTCTGTTCGCTTGTCCGTGCGGTTCGTCCGTGTGTCTGTTTACAAAATGTCTACACTTTTGAAGATAGAAAAATAAAATTTTATGAAATTTTTTTCTTTTTCTACCGTGGAATATCATAGTTGAGCATTGAAATGACTAAATTTCCATTAAAATTGTTCGAGAAGAAAACTTTTAGAAGTCTGAAATTTTAATAGCTTTAAGATATTAATAAGTAGTTTCGGTAGAAAAAAAACTTATATTTCCGAAACGCGAACTTTTCT